CACGATTTTGAGCTTCTGATTCGAAACGCTCGAAAATGAACCTCTCGGATTCAATAGAGGTATTGTATATCCCTCTCTTGCCTAGCATAACGCTCAACTCTATAGTATAGAACGAATCTCCAGCATCGCTCTTCGACGGAGTCTCCTGGATCTCCTTCTCGATCTCCTCTGGCTCAGCCTCATCCTGCGCGTTTTCTTCGTCTAGAAATTCAAGCTCTGAGGAGGGTGGAGCAGTTGATACATCCTCTTGACGGCGCAGAGAGATAGGCTGCGTTGATACAGCTCTTTTACGCCCTGCTGGCCCTGCTGGCCCTGCTGGCCCTGGAGAACCCTTTTCGGAGGATCTCTTAGAGCTCTGAGATGCTACAGACTCCTCTCTAACCCTCAAAATCACCTTCTGCGCCCCTGTTGACTGTGCAGAGGCTGGCGGGGTATCTCTATCTGCGTCATCAAGGCGCCGTGGGGCTCTCCCTGCGGTTGAACGCTTCTCGCGATTCAACACCATGGTTTTCTATCTCGAAATTTCGGCAGCAAGGTCACAAGAGAGTCAATTTTACTATCTGGGCAATTTTGGGCATTCTACTACGATAATTAGGTGGTAAATGGCCATCCTCTGCCCACACCGCAATTCTGCCCCGCAGCGCCAGCAATTCGAGGGTAGCGCCAAGGAATTGCAACACTTTCGCAATGCACAGTAACATTTTGGAACCCGTCCAGAATAGCACTCCGGGGACGGGTATATGCTTGATCTTTACGAAAGCACGATCTAAACACCAGTTCTTGCAACTATTGATATATCTTATGTACACTGTCGAATACTTTATCTACTATCACTGTGGATCATTCAAGTGATTCAAGATCTTAACCTTGCTCATTGGTTGCCTTGGTCTGCGTCCAGCCTCGCTGAATTACACCATGCCTAATGTGAAAACAGTCAGCTCGGTACGGAGTACTCTGTCCTATCAGACGAAATGTGGCGCAAATCGTCGTTCAGCCTGCTTGAAAAATTTCTCTCACCTCCTCGCAAGCCTTCGCAACTGATACATTTATGGCAATTCGGATGAACAACTTGATTTCTCTATTTGGCAAGCAATATTTAAGGGGCTTCAATTCCTTTCCACCTATCATCACTGTTGTGACGCCTTGAATAACGAAGGATCCTTTTCTCTTCCTAACGCGAAATGAGCTCACCGCTGTTGATTGATGATGAGGCTGAATCTAGCGGAGGACGCGCCCCAAACCTGTCCTTTTGCTCACCCGTCTGGATCGAAGAGTTGGGCTTCACAACACTTTATGAGCCTGAAATTAGCGATGTGGCAGCCGATCTCGTTTTTGTTCATGGTCTGCAAGGCCATCCCCGCAAGACATGGAAATTCTCAGGCAGCACAAGAGAAAAGGTGCTTAGCACTAACAGCAACGAGAAAAAAGGCGGAATCTTTGGACTGAGAAAGAGTGGTCCTCAATGGTCTGAGAAAACGGTCAAGAAGTCTCTTTATTGGCCGACAGACCTGCTACCAAATGATGTGCAAAACATCCGTATCCTCACGTATGGCTACGATTCTCATGTTACAAGGTTCTTTCAAGGTGCTGCAAACCAAACCAATATCTCCGATCATGGACGCTCGTTTCTCAACGATTTAAGCTCCCAGCGGCGAACTTGCCGCAAGCGACCTATCATCTTCCTGGCTCACAGCCTAGGCGGCCTTATTGTCAAAGAAGCCTTACGCCGAGCCCGAGAAGAGAAGTATCATTCGCATCTTCAAGACGTTTATAACTCATCGAACGCTATTATCTTCTTTGGAACGCCTCACTCTGGTTCTCCGGATGCTGCATGGGGAGAAATTTTGCGACGTATTGCAGCGATCGCTCAATTTGACACAGCAAGACCAATAATAGCTGACCTGGATCCACGGTCGGGAAGCTCCAAGCTGGACGAACTGACCGAGTCATTTAGCATTATTTGCGAGGAGAGAAGCCTGAAGATTTACTCCTTCCAGGAGTCAAGGGGCAAGACAGGCACGAAATTGCTTCAAAACCTTGTAAGCATTCTCGTTATGGCCTTGCAAGTTACAAGTCTAAAACTTATTGTACTAATGTGGGTCCAGGTAGTACCCAAAGAGTCTTCAGCCATAGGCGACCCGAAGCATGAGATCAGGGATGTAATCAATGCAAATCATATGAACATGTGCAAGTTTAGCGGGGAGAACGACGGTGGATATAAGAAAGTAATATCGGCGTTGCATTTGATCCTGGATGCTTTGAAGGATGGGAGTCATGGAGGAACTGCAGACCCTAGCGAGCGGGTCGAACGCTGGAGCTCTGGTGCGTGACGGTTGTATAATTAAAGCCCCAGACCCATGACACGAGGCCTACTAACCATCAGCAAGCTGTTCTTGACTCCCTTAGTTATGAAAATATGGACACCAGAAAAGCGCAGCTGGTACCTGCAAATGACGAATCTCTGGATTGGATCTGGTCAACCTCTCCTGGTCGATCAGGAATGGTAGATTGGTTGTCTCAAGGAGATGAGATTTTTTGGATCTCCGGAAAGCCCGGGAGTGGGAAGTCGACGCTTATGAAATACCTCAGCAGACATTATAAGACCCGGGACTATTTGGGTCAGCGAAATACACAGAAATGGATAATTGCTGACTTCTTCTTTGACTTTCGAGCTGGAACCGGAACAGCTAACAACCTCGATGGTATGATGAGATCGCTACTTGCACAAATGATCGGGCAGATCCCAGACTTGGCATCATACGTGCCGTTCGACGGAAACACAGATCTTGCCATCCGAAGACCGCAGTCTATGGACGTTGGGAGAATGCAAGAGGTTCTCTCCTCCGCATGTAGGGCTCTGTCGCCCAACGTTTGCGCCTTCATTGATGGACTCGATGAGTATCAGGGAAACGTGCTGGATCTACTGTCGCTCCTGAAAGCTATGACCGAAGATTTCAAGTTCAAAGTATGCTTAGCAAGTCGCCCTGAGCCCGCCATCCAGCAACTTCTAGAGAAATTTGAAGGCATGAAAATGCACGAGCACAATGCCAGGAGCATCGAATTATATGTCACAAACAGGATCAGGTTGGTACAAGCAGATCAAAACGACCAGTTGGTCAACGACCTGGCCCGAACCATAGTGGAGTCCGCTGAAGGTGTTATTCTATGGGCTAGACTGGCCGTGGATGACCTGCTGATGGGATACATTGAAGGGGAACTTAGAGCCGAACTTCACCGTCGACTATTGAATCTTCCAAAAGCGTTAGAAGACCTGTATCAACGAATAATCGATCATATTGAACCACGACATAGAACTGATGCGTCCGTCATTCTCCAACTTGTTAGCGGAGCAACCCGTCCTCCCAAATTGGACGAGCTCCAGTCCGCGCTGGCTATCGTATCAAGCAAAACAGGTCTCAATCTTGCCTGGAGGGAACCCTATGGATGTGATCTGGTAGCCCGGAGGATACATGCTCGAGTCCGCGGCCTTGTCGACATGGTCCCTCTCCCTGACGGTACAGGTATCAGCGTACGCCCTATTCACCAGACGCTGCGGACGTTTTTGGGACGCACAAAGTGGCTAGAGGGCGCAGAAAGTGAAACTTTCAAAGCAATTTACCCTGACAACTTTTGGCTACGAGTGTGCAGCCAATCTCTTGCTTCACCCATCTCAAAAGACTCCCTTAGCAAACTAAGACAGGCACGTCCTTTAATAGATCCCGACGTGCCTGTCCTGTCAAAAGCTTACATACCTGACTGTAACTGGTGTCATCAGGCTTTTGTGGTGGGGGAACGGCCAGTCATTCGGTATGCTGCAGAAAACGTATTTAAGCATGCGGTAGAATGCGAAGCGACGGACAAATCTTCATATCACATTCTTTCTGCTGCATTGTGCTGTCCATTGATATTGCTTCACTTTGATCGAGGTTGGAGTAGGTGCTCCTGCGTGAATATGTGGAACCCAGCAGGTTCTGAATCGCATTCGACATCGTTGCTTTGGGGAGTTCTCCACAACTTATACCTATATTGCGGCGATGCAATTCAAAATGGTGAAAGTTTTGGAATTGACGGTGGGCAGGCTTTGTTGGCTGCTATTTCAAATCTTTCCACCAACCCTTACTCAGAGCAAACAGCGAAGTTGTTGTCGCTGGTATTGGACGAGGGCGTTCGAATAACTGATTATCACATTTTTCAGGCTATAAGAAGTCTTCTCCCCCCGCGCTTTCTTCAACAAATGCTCCAAAGAAAAGATTACACACCTGGCACAGGTTTGCGGGTGGGTTCTCTGGGAGAAGAACGCAATGTAGGTCTCCTATGGGCATGGGCAAGGGCAAATTCTTCACATGACCCTGAGCGTTATGCGACACTGCTAGATTTCATAATTACTTTCGGAGAAGACATTAACGACTTTTGTTCTAGCAATGGCACCGTGCTCCATGCCGTTGTTGGGTTATTCCACCTCGACGAAGATTTGTGTGCTCAAAAAGTACAAATGCTCATAGCTCGAGGCATCGATATAGACATCAAAGGCCCCTATGGGACCGCGTCGGAATATGCTTACCAGCAATGGCGGAAGGAATGGCGGAAGGAATGGCGGAAGGAATGGCGGAAGGACTGGCGGAAGGACTGGCGGAAGGAAAGGCACACAAGTCGAATCCAGGGTTTGCTTCTATCATCTGAAGCTGCCATTAAGAAGCCACAGCACGTGGTACGAGGCCAAAGAGTCATAAAGACAGTAGCAGAGATGGTCGAACTGGAAGGTTCACAGCCTTGACGATATCGTCAAGGTGCATGAGTGCTGTGAGACACAAGATAAGGGGTCTTACACCTTGGAAGCCGTTACAAAAACAGCAGGACAGTGGCAGAAATGATCGAGCTAAAGGTTTGAATCTTGTTCTCCACATGCGCAGAAAGTTCGCGCCACACCCACCAAAACAATCTCATACTTGTCGGCCACATTGGGTCTCTCTATGTCAGCACTCGGACCATGAATTTAATCAACGGACGATGTCCTTACTGGCAAGGGTTAGCCTCTCGCAGCACCTCACCGCCTCGTTGGAGGCTGGAAATATTCGAGGATGGCGCTTAGAATCTCGGTCCAGTTCCTCGAAGATTGGTCCCAGATCTTGAGCATCATGTGCTCATGCGCAAAAGCGAAAGAAACAAACTCTCGATGAAGGCCTGTCTCGGGCTCTTCCTCTTTATGTGGGACGAGGAGGTTGTTGAAGAATTATTCCAGATGATGTTTTTGACTGAATTCACGGCCAGCTGATACCACTACTTCTCTTTAAGGACGAAGCTGTCACACAAGGGAGGCAATGAATAAATTTTTCTTCTGTCAATGGATTGACTCCACGTGTCCTTGGTGCGGATAGCGACCGCCTGAGGTTGCAGAGACTATCGATGAGGTATTTTCCGGCAAAGATATATATTTTGGCGTGGTAGAGAAGTGGCGGAGTTGCTTTTACGCCTGAAATGGGGTCCCTGTTTAGGAGTCATTCGTCGGTTAAGTGACTTGAGTGGTCTTCGTTTGTGAGATTGTGAAATTCAGACCAGAGCCGATCCGCTTTCATGGTTCTGTTTTCTTCTCGACTTCCGAAAGACTAGATGTTGGAACTAATATTGGTGCACCTAGCAAACCATCCACGAAATAGCTTTTTGTTCTTTACTGGCTCGGTGTGATATCTTCAAGCAAAGTGTGGCAATCCCTCAAATGACTCCACATAGATTCATCAGATTCAAATTTTCCGTGACCCTTACCCAGCTTCGTATCGCACCTAAAGCAGTACCAGATATAGCCATGGGTACCCGAGATCCCGGGGGTATGGGGTTCGACGTATGAATCTCTGGCAGTGGATGCCACGAAGATGGTCGATTACTTCTCCTAGGTCCCACAGGTACTAATTGTTACAAAGTATATCTATACCAATGTATGATCGAGACATTAGGGGCATCTTTTTGACGACTTGCATTTATTTTGCAGAACATATGCTGTTTCACAGCAAAGAACAGGGCGGACGAGGACTATAATTTAGGAGCAGGATGATAAGAGGCGATAAGCAAGAGAACAAAGGGCGATAGGTAGCAATAGATGGAAATATGTCACAGCAAATGACCTGCTCAAATAGGCGACGGAATTTTTTCACAGCCTCGGTGGGTAAAGCCACTTTAAACTTACAAGGACAAGGGATGGCTAAAGATATGGCTAGTCAGAGGCAAGAAGCTGGTCAGCAGCCTAGCGCTATGACGCTGTGATGCTGTGAGGCCCAGAAGTAGCGGCGCAATAAGCTAGCAGGGGAGGCCAGCTAGGAGGGAAGCGGTAGAGGAAGGAGTAGAAGAAAGAAAGGAAGAGACGGTGAGGGAGATGAAGGAGCAGCGGGCTCTTTATACCCGGGCTAGGCGGCGAGGGGCTGTGTTCCCCGATCGAGCGGTGCTAAACTGGAAGAAAGGGCGCACTGGCACCTACTAGACGACACATAAATTAACCATAGTCAGAGTTATACTTCCTTACCGCAAGATGATCTTCTTAATCATGCTTCGCCGCCCACTCTTTGTAAAATTCCAGACATTCCTTGTTGGCCACACTTGCACTGGTCTTGATGTTCATGCCAGAAAGAATCTGCTTCACTGCTCCTTCAACCTTCTTTCTGTTTACCGTCACCAGGATAGCTAGTGTCTCCTTAATGAAGCCAGGTACATGTTGTCCACTCAAATCCTTTCTAATATAATCTTTCACCTTTTGAACCAGTTGATCATTAAATAGCTTTCCTTCTGCCATCTATAGGAATAGAACCACAGTTTCATCTTTGTCTTTCTCTTGTTGTGTTACGCGGAAGGCCATGCAACAGGGTATGGGGGTGCTATAGAGATAGCGGAGAGTCACGAAGAAGCTATGGAGGGCAACTGTATGACTGATGTCGAATAGTATGGTGATGGCTGACTATCTAAGTGCTATGGAGGCGAGGATAGAGATATGACGCGCAGGGCGCCAAGCCTGCCCTAGCCCTCAGCCCTAATGCCCCTTTGGGCCATAGGGCAATCCGTGTCGTAACAGTTGCCGGCAGCAGAAAAAAGGCCACGGCCTTATGGTCATAGAAGAAAAACAAGTGTGCACAGAAACGCACAGAAATAACGCAGAAATAGTGCCAACACTCCTTCCCCTTTGGGCCGCGCTGTGGTCGACCTCGCGGCTCTCCATAGAGAGTCGCGCCGCGAGCTTGTCGACGCCCGTCGATATAATCTGGCGGAGGGGGGAGGTTTCATTGATAGGGATCATCATTAGGGCTCAGAGCAGGGTCGAGATGAATCTTGCTAATCACTTAGTGGATTCTCCAGGCCGCAGGCACAGGTCCATTTGCAGTACATTGCCCTTACCAACAGCCTCAAGGATTCGAAAAGCTCTAGTGTAGCGTGGGGAGAGTGCGAATTTGCGTGCAGAAGGCAGCGAGTAGCTCTTTAGCGAAAGCGCAACCTAGCCTAGCTAGAGTCAAAAGATCAATCTTGGATTGCTCTATTTATTATTACTTCTGCAGCAATCTAAAGCCCTTCTGTAACTATATCTCTAGCAGCTTCGCGCTCCTATACTAACTGCTCTAGCACTTCTAGCATTAGTAGTGTTAGCTAAGTGCTAAGAGTAAAGCTATAAAAATAACTTAAAATAGGGTCTGAGTAATAACAAAGAAGTAATTGCTATTAAAGTAGAACTTAATAGTAGGTAGGAATTCTTTCTAATTGCCTTACATAGTATTAATATAGAAGTACAGTACTATTTCTAGCTCTTAATTAACTCATTCTAACTAGCTATTTACTAAGGAATAATATACTATAATATAGATTAGCTAAGTGCTAGCTAATTTGAAAACCCTCTTTTATAGTATAGTGATAAATTAAGCATCCTGATTAATAGTAATAGTGTTAGGTAGGCCATAGCCCCTTCTGCAGAATACATTATCTTAGAGGCATTTAGCCTAATCCTTAGCTGACTATGCCTTCTTCCTTGTTTTGAAAGCAACACGTTTTAAGAATTGATCTATAATAATAAGTATTATATCATGGCTATCCTTAAGGGGCAAATCAGTAATAAAATCCATTATTAGAGAGTAGAAAGATTGCAGAGGCGCTAGAAGTGGCTTTAATAGCGCTGCAAAGCCTATATAGCGTGACTTATTTATTCTATAGCCTGCGTAGTAATGTATATAATCTAGTATCTCCTTACTTATCTTAGGCTATTATAGACTAGCAAGCGCTTTATGCAGCCTAGTATAGCCGCTATGTAACTAATTATTATATATAGCCTTAAGCATAGCTTTTCTGAAGCTTTAGGGAATAATAAAGTGTGACTTAGCTTGCTATATATTAATTCAGACTAGGTTAGAGCTACTCTCTTAATAAAGGAGGGCATAAGGCCTATTAGGCAGTTACTAGAGGTTAGGAGCTAGTAAAGGCATAGCCTAGAGCTGCTTAAATAGCTCGCTAAACTCCTCTTTGACTTTTGCATAAAGCCAGGTAAGCTCTGCGTCATCTAATCCGAGTAGAACTATGCTAAGATAAGCTTGCTTCTCCTCCTTAGATTAGTGCTAGCTATAAAGTGTAACTAAAAGCCTAGATAGGGCGTTCGGAACCACTATATCTTGACCTTCCTTATAGATGACGGTCAGATTATTCTAATACTAACTTAAGAATATAGCCTATCCTTATTAATAAGTATTTATCTTAAGAGGAGATTACGTACGTAGTAATCTTGCTACTAAGATTACTAGATTCGCTTAATAATTAATATATATAATAGTCTTTATTTATTTAATGTAGATTTATAAATGCTTAACTGTCTATACAAGTCTAGATAGCTCTAGATCTATTAGCTAACAGTTGCGTTTAGTAGGCGTTAAGCACTTTAAGAGAAAGATAATAGGCCTTAGCATCATTTTTAAAGGCTTAAGAAGGTCTTTAGCTTTCGCGCCTTTGAGTTAATACATAATAACACTAAAACCAAGCTCTTTTGAAGCGTTAAGAAATATGTATAGCATCTTTGCAGGATTAAAATAGAATAATTAATATATATAATAGTCTTTATTTATTTAATGTAGATTTATAAATGCTTAACTGTCTATACAAGTCTAGATAGCTCTAGATCTATTAGCTAACAGTTGCGTTTAGTAGGCGTTAAGCACTTTAAGAGAAAGATAATAGGCCTTAGCATCATTTTTAAAGGCTTAAGAAGGTCTTTAGCTTTCGCGCCTTTGAGTTAATACATAATAACACTAAAACCAAGCTCTTTTGAAGCGTTAAGAAATATGTATAGCATCTTTGCAGGATTAAAATAGTATAGGATATCTGTAGCTTTAGTAAATACGCTCTTAAGGTCCTGAAACGCAATTGTATACTTGCTCTTCTAAAGCTCTCTAAATTCCTTTGCTCTGTAGCCTTTTTTCTCTTACAGCTTCTTTAATAGAGATCTCTTCTCTCTTTTAGGGCCTTAAAAGATAATTATTTTAAGCTGTTATAACGTCTTAGCGTATTGCGTAAAATAAGGGACTTGCTAATAATGCTAGCTAACAAAGCTAATAAAGTGTTTAAGGTTATAGCTATTCTTAAGGATATCCTACTTGGTTATAGCTATAAGTTTCTCTCCTGCTATTAAGTAACTAAGTCTGCTAACAAGTTTTCTAAGCGCTACTAGCTCTTAAAAGCTAAGATAAGTCTTTGTAGCTTTAAAAGTGTAGCTAGTATTAGTGAAACATCGAAATATAGTATCTAAGTCATGTAGATGCTAGC